CATAACAGCACATGTACAACGTTTCGACAAGGTTTTTATGAAACGTTGTACATGTGCTGTTATGTTAAACTTATATTAAAGTTTTTCTTCATTACCCATTCAAGCCGTCTCCCGCCATTGTTATACACTTGAGTGTCATTTCCTTCTCACAAATCCATATCAGAAACAACAGTAGGACCACACACTTTAAAGAATGATTTATAGTGCTTCGCCATTGATGCCTCAATTTGATAGATGTTAATCAAATCCTGAACACTTTTGTTCGTGCTGAATTGCCACTAAGTGTTGGTACATATCTGATGAAAACTAACGCCACTTCTCATTTAAGGTAGCTTAAGGTGTAATGATATTACTTCTGTACTTTAGTTGAAAATAAACGTGACAGTGTGGTTCATTTGGATTTATATTGATCCTCTAGGATGGCCAAGGCAAATTCTGGCCACATGTGCGATTAACATGATGCATGTTAATGATGTTCTCAGTGGAATTTCAACATTTCAGGCAAAGCAAAGTTATTTAAACATTCACAGTACACGAAAAAAAACGCATTCTTTAAAAGTTATCAGTGGATGAAGTTCAAAGTAATTGGAGTAATACAATACTATCCTCACAAATATTCATGGTTAGGACGAAACAGTATTAATCTAAATATTCTTCTGGATTCCGTCGAATCCAAACCCATCTATTCAAAGCAAATACTGAAAAGCAAGATGTATGGATATATCTCTTCAGATAATGGCTTTCTCTATTCTCCATGTCAAATTCGATGCTCAAGGCATCATCATTTAGTGCAGCAGTTTTGTTTAACGACTCACAGGATGCAGTAGACAAATAAAATCCAACATAATGGAGCTCCCTATGCTCAACGACCCTGCCGGACTGCAACCTTGAACTGTCATTAAAGTCCTGGATAATACATGTCATGCTACATTTTTGGTTTCACTTAATGTGTTTTTAAAATTGGACCGAGAAGCGATTAATTGTGATCGTCTGGGTCGACATTGTACATTAAAATAAATAATTCTCTTTCATTTCTTTAGCACATTACCTAATTAAGTTTTATTATCAGTATGTAGCCTAAAAAGGCACAGCGGTAAATCTGCGGAAATTACACCACTAGAAACCGGGTTTCGATAACCGTGGTGGGCAGAGTATAGATAGCTCACTGTGTAGATTTGTGCTTAATAACAAACAACAACCTGATATAGCTCACTGTGTAGCTTTGTGCTTAATAACAAACAACAACAACAACCTTATATAGCTCACTGTGTAGCTTTGTGCTTAATAACAAACAACAACCTTATATACCCCATGTGTAGCTTTGTGCTTAATAACAAACAACAACCTTATATAGCTCACTGTGTAGCTTTGTCCTTAAAAACAAACAACAACCTTATATAGTCTATTGTGTAGCTTTGTCCTTAAAAACAAACAACAACCTTATATAGTCTATTGTGTAGCTTTGTGCTTAATAAGAAGCAACAACCTTATATAGCTCATGTGTAGCTTTGTGCTTAATAAGAAACAACAACAACTTTATATAGCTCACCGTGTAGCTTTGTACTTAATAAGAAACAACAACTTTATATAGCTCACCGTGTAGCTTTGTGCTTAATTACAAATAAACAAACAAATCATGACATTTTGAAGCCAACTAATTGTCTGCTGCAGCCGCTAACGTTTACAAAACCTACATAATTCTACACCATGAGAGTTGTATGCAAGTTTAGTGTTGGTTTGTTTGTTTTTGAATTTCGCGCAAAGCTACACGAGGGCTATCTGCGCTAGCCGTCCCTAATTTAGCAGTGTAAAACTAGAGGGAAGGCAGCTAGTCATCACCACCCACCGCCAACTCTTGGGCTAATCTTTTACCAACGAATAGTGGGATTGGCCGTCCCATTATAACGCCTCCACGGCTGACAGGGCGAGCATGTTTGGCGTGACGGGGATTCGAACTCGCGACGCCAAGATTGCGAGTCGAGCGCCCTAACCACTGTGGGACCACTGTTTAGACAGAAAACCGGTTGATTACGTTAAACTATTAGCTGCTATTTTTGTTTTCTTTGTATATAATTAGAAAGTTCATTTTTATCACGTGGCTTTAATGGTATGGCACCACACTAACTGCTTGTAGTGAGTGGTGCCGAGCTACTAGTTCTGTCTGTAGTTCGTAGTGTTACTGCTAACAACATAAAAAGACGTGCACATAAACATATTCTTCTATATATATAAAATAATCGGTTTGTATTTTGTTTATGTGTAATACCATTGAAATTGTTTTTTTTTTTATTTTGAGAAACTACCTGGAATATACTTACAACATAAGACCTTGAAACAAGAGCTACAGGCTAGTAAGTTCTACGTGGTGTAATGCAGACAATATTTCTCACCAGGTGTGTTACTATACTATTGATGCAATTAACCTAACAAGCTAAATGTGTTTGTGTATGCATTAATATAATATTCTAGAATCTAAAATGGTAAATATTCTTATATATATAAAACCATTTAGGTTTAGTTGTTAAAATGATAGTGATATGGAGAAGTTCTGAATCATATAAATTAAACATTTGCGTAGCGAATTAAAATGGTATTATGAACTACCAATATTTGAGAAATGTCTTTAAAATTTTCAGGGCAGAATACTGGAGACGCCGTTAAAAAAAAGGATGTAAATAGTAAAGAGGCGGAACCAGCTTCAGAAGCTAACACGGACGCATACACGGCAAAGAGACATGAGGAGACAGCACCAGTGATCTCTAATGAAGAAGCTAAAACACAAAGTGACACTCAAAAGACTGAAGAAAGTGCTGAGAATAAAATTAATGAAGACAAAATGATAAATGAAGATGCTACAAGTAAAACAATCATAGCCGAATCTACAGAGGAAAATGCAACAAAAGCTATTGAAGAGGATCCTAACAGTTCTCCAAATGATGGTCCTGACAGCGGAGAAAAGCCACAAGATCCTGAAGCGGAAAATGCAGAACTTGATAATACGATTACCAACCTGGACGCAGAGAAAGACAAAAGAACAGAAGATATGGGTGAGAATGGTTGTGGAGAAGAGCCAATCACAACCACTAAAGTTGAAAGTGGAGGCGCCAAAAAAGAAAACGTCGAAGTTTAAGAAGTGGTGAGGAAAAGCTAATGTGAAACTTCATTACGGTTCACTATAGTCTTAACGTACAATGATGATGTACTTTTACAACGAGTTGTGAGTGTTTAGATACATCTTCAACTTTCCATTGGTGTTGGTTAACTTATACCAACAAGGCAATGATGTGCATGTACGTGTACATATGACTCCTGCCTTGATAATTCCATGCTGGTTGAACCCTGCACTTTAACTTTTCACAGACTTTTGTAAATGCTGGTTGAACTCTGCACATTCACTTTTCACAGGTTTTTGTTAATTCTGGTTGAACTCTGCACATTAACTTTTCCCTGACTTTTGTTAATTCTGGTTGAACTCTGCGCGTTACCTTTTCACAGATTTTTGTAAATGCTGGTTGAACTCTGCCCATTAACTTTTCACAGACTTTTGTAAATGCTGGTTGAACCCTGCATATTAACTTTTCACAGACTTTTGTAAATGCTGGTTGAACCCTGCATATTAACTTTTCATAGATTTTAATATAATTCGTTGTATTCTCAAAAACACGCCCCAAAAGAACTTTTAAGCCAAAACATAATTTTTGTTTATCTAGAGACTCCGATGTGAATATATAACTAGTTTCGAAGTGTACTTAAGATACATGCATAGAGGGTTCGTATAATCCAAAGTAACGTTTGTTAAATGTACTTAAAAGTTCAGAAAACATGTTCAAATTATTCTAGTAAGTTGTTTTGGTTTTTACAGGGGCACAGTGAATTGAAATAATGGATTTTTATTAGCATATTTTGACTTCATTCACACAACATGTGTTTTTTAAAGCACTTAGTGATTTAGAAATGAGAAGTCTTGATAGAACTATCTATAATGTTGTCTTCATTATTGTTAATAGCTGAAATTTAGAAAGAGAATGAGAGTTAGAACTTATAATTCCCTTGGTATTTAAAGTATGTATAAGACTTATTTGTGCTTTTGTCTTATCATTATCTTATACTGAACTAAATCAAATAAACCTGTTAGAAATTCTCTAAAAGGTTCATGCATGTCAAAAATTATGAAGCTAAAACGCACTTTCAGATCGCATACACGCTACAATTACTTTGATTCTGGGACATTAATACTGTTACAGTATACAAGACACTATGTTAGACAATACACGATAATAGAGTCACTGATGACGCTGAAAAGAACAAATGCTTTCAAGGCTTATTTTGATTATTCTGATTCAAATATTTAGTGTTTTAACTTAAATTTTTTTCAGAATGGCAAACAGGATTAATAAATACACATTGAAATATAATACAAATGTCCATAAAAACTAAAAACAGAAATATTCTCATTGTAATGAATGGCAACACGTATAAAATAACATGACATTGATAATATACATATATATATGTA